TTCTCATTCTGGGTATATAGCATTTCCAGGAGACTGGGTTTTCTAAAGGAAAGGAGCATGAAGGAGATAGGAATAAGGTTCATGTACTCAAAGAGTTGGTGTATATTTTTTAAGTAAATGTTTTCATGTAATCATAGATTACCCACTACTGGACTCTCCTGGGGTTGTCTTTTGAACTCCTCATCATGAGCCAAGATGAATAATCTATTTAAGTGAGACATTTCAAGAGTCTAAAAGTTTAATGTTCCATGAATCCATACCGAAAATGTTCTTTTATTTATTTACTATTAGAAAAAGCATCAACGTATGGGCATTGCTTATTAGTTTGAATTCCAAAGAATATATCTTAAACGTGGTTCTCAAGGTGTGGCACCTAGATCAACAGCATTCAGCATTACCTGGAAACTTGTCAGAAACTCTGGAGGTGGGGCAACAATCTGTAGCCTAAGAAAACTTTCCCGCAGGAAATTCTGATGCATGCTAATGTTTGAGAACCACTGTTTTGAAGGATGCTTTTTTTGTTGTTGTTGTTGTTTTAATAGTATTTAATTGCACTGAAGTGATTACTTTTACATGTGATTTCTTCCCTGATGTTCTGAAGTTTAGGCTTTGCCAAACAAGTCTGAGTAATTATATGATTTAGTTTTAAAGTATACATTTTCAAGAAATCAATGAACAAGATATAAAACAGTCTTCAGAGTTATAGGATTTTTTCTTGTTCTCTGCAACTGTTCAGTGCAGTAAGTACTGTAGTAAGTACTTATTAGATATCTTCTGTTTGCTTATAAAAGTTTCTCATCCAAACCAACATGGAGAAAACCAGTTAATAAGTGATTTTGCACTTTCTTGGGTAGTTTTCCATCAATTTTTATGGCATGTAGATATTTAATGAAATGAAATACTAAAATTATCTGGCTTGTTTTCTAGTAGAAAAAAACTACATAAATAAAGGTCCTGTACCATGTGATACAGCTCAGTGTTGGGCAGGCGCTGTTGGCCTTTGTGGATGGGACAGTTCTTCATGGGGAAAAAATTCACCCCATTGCAGGATTCATTTAGCCTCCCTGGCGCATACCCACTAATGCCAATCCTTGTGACCTGTGATCCCCACCCCCGCTATTGGTGGTTAAGAACCATTGAATAATATTCATCAAAAACATTCATCAAGGGGTATATTTGGAATGCCCTACCTTAAAATAGGCCACATGGCATGAGAGGAGATTGGTTTGGAGAGTAGTTCAGCAAAGCACTCCCAGAACAGTTGTGTGCTCTGCTCCCCGGCACATGGACAGTTCTGGGTTTTGAGCCCAGAGTGACTCCCTGATAATTTCTGAGCCCCCCAAGTCATCTCAGGATGCCAGCAGGCGCAAGAAGAGTTGGAGTTTTATAAAGTATGGTACATGTTCAAGAAGAAAATGGATGAATCTACTAAATGTTGTGCACATACTTTTTTAGAAAAACATCAAGAACAGGACAAATATAAAAACCTAGTTATGAAATATTTAATCAGTCAATTTCAAGGACTATAATTTTCCTTTAAAATAGGGCAGTTATTTTCGGGTTTTGTTTACTGATATGTTCTGTACCTACAACAGTGCCTTGTATGTAACATATTCAACAAATACTTGTTAGATGAAAGAACCTTATTTCAGATTATCTTTTAGCATCTTATTAGTCACTGTCATTTCAGTTATTTAGCTCTAAATTGATTTTAATCCAATATATTTTAAAAGTTAGACCTGTGAAGGATTTAACATATATATTGGCTTAATAGGGAAAGATTGACTTTTTGCACATTGAAGACCATCATTTTAGCCGCACATTTCTTTAGCTCTTTAGAATTCATAAGCTAATGAATGTAATTTTTTCTCACCCTAACAGGAAGGTACTGATCTAACAATTTCCTGTTCAGTGTGTTCCCTCTGACCTAGGAATTTACTAATTTAACTTTGTTCAAATTCCTATGATGGTCCGCTAGGGGGAGTGCTTTTGCAGCCCGACCAGGATGCGTTGGTGATGGCAAATTCATTTCATGTGTCACACAGAAAAATAAAATTTATTTTTAAGACCTTTAGTTTTGCCTTTTTGAAGTTTATCTCATTTTCTTATTAAATTGCGCTTACTACAGGAATGGGTAGTTAATCTTTTTCTCCATTTTTAATGTTTTTCCCTGTTTGATGATGGTGTGCTTCCACCCGGAATTGATGAAATGATTCAAAATAAAAATAAAAGGAGTTTTAAAATTCTACTTTTCTAATAAAAATAGGTCTTGTAACACAATCACTTGTATAAGAAGCCACAGAGGTTTTGTAGTGTATCAGGTAGTGCTGGTAAGAATTCGTTACAGTTGCTGAGAGGGCGGCATCTGGCATTTGTTAACAGTTTAGGCTGCGGAATCTTTCTGCACAATGTACTCCCTTCTTCCCTTCCATGTCGTCACACTGACTTCCCCTTCTCCCCATGGGAAACAAAATCTACTGGATCCAGAAAAACTGGGGAAATGGTATGTTCTTTCTTCTCCTAATTCTGTCATGGGTAGCATTTGCACACACAGGTCGGTTTCCATGCACAGCCGGTGGCAGCAGACAGCTCTCCCACGCATTTCCGTCTCCAGCAGTGACAGCTAGTGTCCTGCTCAGAGATGCCATAGGCAGCTGTTCCACGTGCTTGTGCTATCCACAGCACAGTTCCCACCAGAGATTTTGATAATTAGTAAATGTTTCAAGTTGGTATTACTTTTGAAATTAATAGCTTGTTGATCAACATAATAGATAAAATAGTAGTGGCTCTCATTGGCAAAACTAGAGATATCCAGGATGTGTGGAACAATTAAATTCCCTCAGAGTAGTTCCCCATGCGTGCATGGAAAGCACATACAAACCTAGTGAGGCTTGTAGCCTGTACGTTTAGGCTTGGGGCCTAAGGCTTGACCCCCAAAGGGTCTTGCTTCCCGCCATCTTGTCTAAAGACTTCTGGTTGCTTGTTGCTTACTGGATTAGGACAGTCTCACCTCTGGAATATTGTCAAGTTTGCCTTACATGGGCCTTTCATGGAAACTGGTGGGTGAGCTACCAAAAGAGAGAAGTGGGGCTTGACTGACCTCAAGGAATAGGTTGCATGTCTGCTTGTGATAAATGTTTATTAAAATCTGTATGTGGAGCAGTTTGATCTGGGCTTGATTTTTTTTTTCCCTTTTCTAATTTGTTGCAGAGATTGTAGGAAAATAGCTAACCCCCAACCACCTCAAAAATTTCGGTGCCTGTTAGCTAATTTTAAAAGAATCTAAAAGTTGTGAATTAAAACTATAGCTACCATTCATTATCACCACCATTTCATTAAACATTTTAACATCAAAATCTCACAAAATGGACTACCAGCAACTTTACACTGACAGTAAACACTGGAAATATTTAAGTATCTAAAACTAATTTCAAACGCAATAACAGGATCGCACCATAACATTTTATTTCGCAGTGTTACAAATCATGCTAATGTTTTACTGATACAGGTGTGTCAGTCGAGATCTTAAGATGTTGGGGTCTCCCAAAATATTAGTTCTAAAAATTTTAGTGACATGCAAAGTGGAGTCCAAATTGCCACTTCTGTCTGGTACTTTTGTTTTTCATCACAGTCATTGTTGTAAACCCATTTTCATCTGGATATGTAAAAAAGGAAGCAACTCTTCTAAGGCGACTTTAGTCCAGAATATTCTGGGTCAGAACAGCAGGCCCGTCTCCAGGCAGGACAAAATTAGCAAGGACAGATTGCGTGACCAGTTCACAAGCACTGCAGTAAAGGTCAGTGGGCGATAGCCGTCTCCAGCCAGGGCTGCAGTCTGAGACCTTAGTCCCGAGTGCCAAACTGAAAGCTCTCTGGGAATCAGCTAAGGGAGGACACAGCTGCAGGAGGGAGACTACCAGTCTGCAGACAAGCCATTGGATTAATTGCTATACATGTGCTTAGGCCGTAGCACACTACTCACCACTATACCTTGCTCGGGGTTCTGGTTGATCATTAGGTCAGACTGAACAAAGGACTGAAATTTAAAAATAATAATTTTCTGAATGAAGAACCAAAATGTTCTTATAAGTACTGAGTGAAGGAGAGATGTTGTTAGAAGACACGTGGATCCCAAAGACAGTCTTTGAGCTCCATTAAATCTGCCAACATAACCGAGAATCAATGAAAAGGGAAAATAAGTTCCTTATATTGTAAACTCACAGGAATCTGATTTTTCTCCCTAAGTAGGTGAAGAAGACAGTAAAGAATATAATCTGAGATTGCTGATTTCTTTTCCTAGATACACATTTGTTCAGGGGGTAAGGATTTTTTTTAAGCACCTTGAACATTCCTTCTCTTTAAATCCAGTTTGCGGTTGGGGGCAGCAGAGTGGGATGGAAGATGTAATCATCTATGATTCAGGAAGTCAGCTTTATAATCACTAGGCTGACCTTGAACAAATCAGTCTCTCTTATCCCTAGTTTCTTCATTTATAATAAGAATAATAAAAAAATAATAAAAAACCCCCTCTGACCCTTCACGTGGCATGAAACCAGGGCAAATGTTTCCAGAAGATCAAATGTTTCTTCACAGGGCAGTTTCAGTGACCTGAAACAGGTTATGACTAAAACTACTTCCAAACAGTATATTAAAAATATCCACCAACAACTTAGATATTGCAGAATCTTCTTTAAAAGCCAGAACTGAAAAGAATGAAATTTGAGCTATAAAAGGGAAGTAAGAAGGGTATTGGAATCCCAGTCACTAAGAAGCTAAAAGCATCAGGCTAGAAAAGATTTCTGACCCCCGCCTCCCCACCCCAAGTTACCGATCAGGATCATGTGTTCTAACGGCCCCTGGGTATTTTACCTGTAATACTGCTGCTCAGTAGACCGTTTTTTCTTTTTCTTTTTTTTTTTCTTTACAGTCCTTAGTTCCACCTTTGATCTGCCATTGCTGTCAGTGTTAATAAATATATCTTGTGGTCCAGAATTTTTGTTATCAACAGGTTGGCTTTATTGTTGGCTATCTTAGTATAGAGGTTTTTCTCTTAATGGTAACAGAAGACCTAAAGGAAAGGAGGAAAGCATTTGTGCATTTTCTTTGTTTTTGCCATCTCTTCCAGATCCAGATCACTAATTTATTAAGCTAGAAGGCTGGACTGAGTCTGAGGCAACGGACGATTTCACCATGTGCCCATCCCCCTAAAATGCTGACTCTTCTAATAGGCCTCTAAAATGATTCTAGAGTCTTGATTTTTCTCCCTAAAGAGCAGGGAACTCTTCCTTCAGTTCAGATAGCAGCCAAGGATATCTTAGATATCTGGATTGCTTTTAATCACAGCTGAAAATTTGTAGAATTTAGGGTCTTTTATATTGTTCATAATTTTCAGGTGGTCTCTTCCCATGAACAGACAGATCTTAGAGCCCAGAAGCCCTGTTAAGTGCTACAAAGAGGATCTTTCTTCCCCATTTCCAGCCAATAAGATTCCCACACTCTGATTTCCTAATACTGAAGAAGTCGGGCTGGAGTTAGAAGTAATCTGGTCCAAAAGAAATCTGGTCCAGAAACCTGGTTTCTATTAAGTGTTCTTCAGTCATCTTCTATTTAGACCTCAAGCCTGCAAAGTGTGGTTTTCATAACCCCTATTTGCCTGAAAAAAAAGTATTTGTTCCACAGAAACATGAGATGCAAAATTTTATGAGACTTTTCTTACATGCAAGTTCCACTAAAGACTGATTCATTCTCTGTCTACTACTGACTGCATAAAATACAGAAAGCTATCTGGCACTTTAACTTCCTTCTCAGTAAACCACGAGATAATGTGATTTCAAATCTGAAGAAGAACTAGGCGCAAATTAAGTCAATGGCCCAGGGTCTCATAAACTCAGAGGTGGGCCAAAATCTGATAGACCTCTGCTGGTGATAGATCTAGAAGTCGGCCTGGGCCTGCTCACCTCCCGCCACAAGGTGGCAGGACTCTCCTTGCCGGAAATCTCCAGGTCGCTGAAAGGACACGACTTCCATCCACAGGATATACATTATCTTCTTGGGGTTTAAGTAATGGTGTCAGACTGTCTGTTTCCAAGGGCTCATAAGCTCCAGCGCATTTTTGAGATGTTAACCAGCAAAATGTTTCCCACTCCAGCTTGGTGGTAGCTTTTCACCAACAACAGTTATTAACCTTCTCATTTTGCGCCATGCACCAATGGTGTAACTGGAAGGTAATAAACTCAAAGCCCAGGCTTAGTAAAAGTAAAAGTATCTGTTATTACATGAATACTGAAGGGCGGGCCACCCTGACAACCACTTTGCATACATTTTATTTTCACTGCAACACTAAGAGACAGGCACTATTCTCATCTCCATTCTGTGGATGAGGATACCAGGGTTACCTACAGCTAGAAAGTGGTGGTTCTGGGGTCTGAACCCAGGCTTGTCTGTCTCCAGACCCAGCTCTCAACCACCATGAATCATAAAGGAAAATTAGTTCATAGGGACGTATTGAGGTCATGTTTCTGTCATCAGATAAAATAGTTCATTGGTGAGGTAGTCGTGTTCACAGACTTTACTATGTCCTGAAGTGGGGCCCAAATTCTTAACCAAACTACAAAAGCATTCTTGTACCCTCGGTTCAAGCATGTGCTGCACGTACCCTTGCTTTAAAATAAAACCAAATCTTACAGGCGTCTGGGTGGCTCAGTGGGTTAAAGCCTCGGCCTTTGGCTCAGGTCATGATCCCAGGGTCCTGGGATCGAGCCCCTCATCAGGCTCTCTGCTCAGCAGGAAGCCTGCCTCGCCCCCTCTCTCTGCCTGCCTCCCTGCCTACTTATGATCTCTGTCTGTCAAATAAATAGATAAAATCTTTTAAAAATAAATAAAAAATAATAAAACCAAATCTTAGATAGTTTCTCTACTTTGATTCTAGAGACTGTGTTTTATTTGCCAAAATTTAAGTCACTGACCATTTCAAAAAGAATCCAGGTAGGTATGAATACAGTGCTTTTTAAAAAAAGTTAATTTGTTCTCAACATGCCAGTAGGGAACCTTAGTATATTAAAAGTTTTGAGAAGTCCAGGAAATGAACCTTTGTCACTTTGTTTACCCTAGTTTGTTTTTTCCTAAACTGATCTGCCCCAGAGTCTTTCTCCCTCCCCCTCAAAGCCACTGCCTGCCTCATCCCTTACAATCAACAGTCCCTGTGAGACCCTCCAGGAAATACTACCTAGTATGGCAGACACAAAGAACTTACCACTGCTTCCATACACTGTCCTCTGTCATGCCTCAGGGCCTTTGCATATACAGTTCCTTCTTCCTGGAATGGTTTCTCTTCTCCACCTGGATGAACTGTTACTCGTCCTTCAAGAAACAACTCAGATGTAACCCTCTCAGTGAAGTCTTTTTCCAGCTTTCCTAGATTGTCTCTCCTTTCCACTCGCACTGTACTGAGATTTCTACTACAGGACTCTCTCATATTGTCATTATTTCTCATGGTTGCCTTTCCTACTTGATTATTGTCTCAAGAGTAATGACCGTGTTTTATTTATCGTTATTAGTGCCCGCATCTCAACTGCACCTCACACTTAATAGGTGCTCACGAGGTGTTTGTTGAAGGAATGAATGAAGAGGAGGAAAGAGACTCAGCATGTTCAGGGGACCAAAGATCACGTGGCTCTTTCACAGCCGAGCTGGTCCTCACACATGAGGTGCCCCTCACTCAGAGTATCCTGCTCTTGTCATTATGCCCAAATAGCAAAGGTGTGACAGTGGGTCAGCCATTCCCCTGCCCATACACCGTGACAATACTGATAAATCAGCTTCACCAAACCCAGCCTTTTGGTCGGGAACCTCAAGCATCACTCTAGGACTGAGAGAGTGGGCCCGTGAGATGAAAAATATTTGATCTCCTTGCCCTATTCCACACTATATCCTCCTATCAATCCATATTTGTGGACGTGGCAGAAGGCTGTAGATTGTAGAATTCTTCCCCCGCTTTGCTACAGACAAGGTTCCCCAAACTAGTGCTCTGTCACTTAGCAGCCTCTGTTCCTCTTCGGGGCGGCCCTGAGGTGAGGAGCTATAGGCTCACTTCCCCATCGGCCCCAATGCGCCCAGCTCTTCCCAGCACCCTGATTTGGACAAGCTGCTGCCCTTTGGCACCAGGATGCAAGAGCAGATTTGCCTCCCACCCATTCATACACCTAGGTTTGCCCAAATATTTGCCCCCTAATTTTGTAGGGGCAGTGTTGGAACATTTATTGATAAATGACAGGAAAAGAATAGGAATGCAGTGGCCAGGAAACCAGCTGATACAGCATAAAGTTCATCACAAAAGGCTTGCCCAAGGCTGGTCTGGCCGACACAGCACATGAGCTATTCTCTGCCTTGCTGCACTTCTCTCTGGAGATAATCTCCCCAAATCCTACTTTCCTTGTCTTTCCCTCCCTAGCCCCTCAGCCCAGAAGAGGCTATTCTTTTCTGGTCATATGGCTAAGAGGACAGCAGACCACTAATCGATCAGTGAGCATTCCTTCTTTCCCCTCTTGTGAAGAGAAAAGGATGGCCCTCCCTGCTGCTTCTGCTGGCTTCTACATCTTAAGACCCTTCAAAAGTAATACTGAAATAGCTTTTTGCCATGTGGCTGTCCTAGAAACATTTAAAAATAACAAAAATGAAATTGATGTACCATAGTCTCATCCTTCCAATATGTCTGGATGACGAGCTCGAGTTGTAAAAGTGGCCAGTATTTATTGACTATTTATTTATTGAGCTAGTATTTATTGACCATGAGCCAGATACTGTGCTAAGTGCGTTATGTAAAACCTCATTTGTTCTTCATTACGTTTCCATATTATAGATACTGTTCTAGTCCTCACTGTAGGAAACTGAGACTTAGGATAACTTGCCTAATGACACATAGAATGGCACATAGAACGACACTTAGAATGGCAGAGCCTGGATTCCAAGACAGGTCCGTCTAATTCTAAAGTCCATGACCTTGGCTGTTATATTCTTGTAACAATTAGAGCCGTCTAGGATTGGAAAGGGCCACTTTGACAGGTAATGAGTGAGTTCCTGATTTGGGGAGGTGTTTAATCAGGTACTGGATTACTGGGGTAATCTCAAAAATCTGCTCTACCAGTATAGCTTGCTCTAATCACACTAGTGATTCTCTATCTGCCAACATAATGGCTTCTTATTAGTCCTCATTCTCTTACCATCATCATCATCTTCGTCATCACCTCTAATCAGCACATACTCTGTCAGGCCTCTTTCTGAGCAGTTTTACTTACATTAATTTATTTAGTCACATTTTATAGATTTTTATAGATAAGGAAACTGAGAAGTAAAGTGACGTGTCCAGGGTCAGACAACTAATAAATAACAGAGCTGGGATTATGACCCACGCATCTGACTGTAGTCCATTCTCTCAACACTACATTATCTTGTCTCTTAATATTTGACACACATGCCATATACTTTAAAAATTTATCTTTTTTAAGGGCACCTGGGTGGCTCAGTCAGTTGGGTTATCTGCCTTCATCTCAGGTCATGATCCCAGGTCCTGGGATCGAGTCCCACATTGGGCTCTCTGGTCAGCAGAAGTCTGCTTCTCCCTCTCCCTCTGCCCTGCTTGTACTCACTCTCAAAGTCAAATAAATAAAATCTCTAAAACATAAAAATTTATCTTTTTTTTAAAAGATTTTATTTATTTATTTGACAGAGACTACAAGTAGGCAGAGAGGCAGGCAGAGAGAGGGGGGGAAGCAGGCCCCCCGCTGAGCAGAGAACCCGATGCGGGGCTCGATTCCAGGACCCTGAGATCATGGCCTGAGCCGAAGGCAGAGTAACTCACTGAGCCACCCATGTGCCCCCAAAATATATCTTTTTATCACAAGTATAATATATTTGTTGTAAAAAAAAGTCAAGTAACACAAATATATAATATAGAAGTTGAAAGTTCCCCATAATCTTATCTCCAGAGATAACTACTGTTACCTTTACTAACTACATATTTATATATATTTATGGGTGGTACTACATATAATACTCATTAATATGTATTTTTCATGTTTTTACCCCAATAATATATCTGCAATATTTTTCTACAACTCTTCAAAGCTCTACTTCATGTTTTTGAAAGACCATATTATATGATCATAAACATGGACCTCATTATATTGAGCGTAAACATGTACTAGTGTTCCTACTGGTGGACATTGGGGTTTTTCCTACTGTTTTGCTATCATTGAAAAAAATCTAGGGGCACCTGGGTGGCTCAGCCAGTTTAGCCTCTGACTCTTGATTTCAGCTCAAGTCATATCTCAGGTTCATGAGATGAAGCCCTGCATTGGGCTCACTGCTCAGCATGGAGTATGCTTGTCCCTCTCTCTCTGCTTGTCCCCACTTTCCCCTAAGCTCTAAATAAATAAATAAATAAACAAAATCTTAAAAGTAAAATCTACAAGGAAGACAGAAGGTCTTCCTTCTGTATGACTCCAAAATAATACTAGTCATGACAATAATTAACATTTCACAGAAGCTCACCATGTGCCAAACATTAAGTAAAGCACTTTAAATAGAGTGCTCTTTTTATTCACATTTTTGAGATTATTTTTTAATTTTTTTTTTAAGTAAACTCCATACCCAACATGGGACTCAAACTCACAACGCCCAAACCAAGAGTCATAGGTTCTACCAACTGAGCCAGCCAGGTGCCCCTTCGGTTTTTTTTTTCATATGAAGAAAGGAAGACACAGGAAGTCTCACTGCAAATGGGAAAGCTCAAATTTGAGTCCTGTTTTGATTCTAAATCACAATGCATATATTATCTCTAAAATAAGTGTAAGTGTTCCCTCCCAAGCCCTTTCATTTCACATATACATATTCCACGGGTTTCTTATCCATTCCCTTCACTTCAGAATCTATCTTCTTGAGCTCCTGGACCATTCAGCCTACCAGAAATTGCCAAGTGGATGCACTGTGGGTACCTCAAACTTAACATATCCAGAATCGAAATCATCATCTTCCTCAGACCCTCCAGTCATCCTCCAGGTGATCTCCACTTGTCAGCACTATTTCATTTAGTAGCATTGCCATTCATCCAATGGTCCACACTAGAAACTTCAAAGCCTCCTGTGACTCCTGCCTCCATCACACATCATATCTAATTGGTGCTAAGGTCTTGTTAGAACAGATCATAAATTGCTTTTCAATCCTTCCTCCCCAACTTCCTCCTACTATGGCTTTAAATAATTAAGGTTCCCACCACTACCTCCCCCTTGAACTGTTGTATCTGCCTCCTAACTGATCTCCCTATTTCTAAAATCTCCCTAGGTCCCATCTCTTCTTCCATTGCTGTTAGAGTTAATGTTGTAGAGCCAATAATTGATGATGTCATATCTTGCTTAAATCCTTCCAACTAACTACTAAATACATTCTAAACTCCTTAGCATGGCACAGAAAACATCACATAATCTGACCCTAATTTATCTTTCCAAACTCATCTCCGGCATGTTCTTACTCGTACCTTAAACCACAACCACCCTCAGTCACTTGTGTTTCCTCAGAATATCTCCATGCCCCTGCTTTTGTTCACGCTACCTAAATGCCCTCCTCTGGCTTCTCTGCTACCTGCTGATATTTTACTATTCTTTGAAGACCCAGCAGCCTGCCCCAGTGTGCACAGTTTCCACCCATATTTCTGGTCTCCCAATTTATTACTTGTCCTCTTTATTTACATTTCTATTAATGTTTTACTACAGACTAGTCACCTAGTCATGTGTGTCTCTTTTTCTGAAAGGATTCTATCTGAAACATATCAGTATTTTTAGTGCTTAGGAGGAGCTTGATGTGTAAATAATTAAAACTGAAGTACATTTGTGATTTAAGTAAAAGTTTACTCCCAAATCTGAGATGTTCTTTGCCTTTTTAAGACACTAAAATCTTATTGAGCTTGCAACTATCATTTAACCTTAGAATTAACTCCTACTTCAAGGGGCCATGTCTGCTTTCACTTCTTTGCATAGACTTTAAAAGCCAAGAATTTGGGCTCCTGGCAACAAACGTTCAGTGAATGTTGTCATGGGGTTTCCGGAGGAGGTGGGGTAGAAAGCACAAGAGCACATCGGAAAATGAGCAGAGTTCCAGGACATCTGGGATTGATTATTCCAGCAAGACGCTCGAGCAAAGAGAACAATTTTGGTACTGGTTTTTTTTTACATCTGGACTTTGGCAGCTACTCCTATGGCTTTGCTCAGCAATTGTTGAGGAATGAGATATGGGCTTGTTTCTGTGGAAGAAAAACCTCCCCTGACTCAATTTCTCCTACAGCAGGATCCTTCAAAAGACTTTTCCTCTTTAATGGATTTTCTTGGCAGGTCCCGGTCTCACTGTCATCTACAAAGAGGATCAGTCTCCATGCACCTGAAGAAATTCATACTACCTGGGGTCTGAATTAGATTAGGCCAACCCCTCCTAATTTCTCCTTCTCCTCTGGTTTTTTTCAAACCACAGACAAGAAACAAGGAACAGTGAGAGACTGGAAGGAAGACCTGAGACTACTGAAGAAGTACAGTCACTTCAGCTACTTTGAAGTTTCTCTTGTTAAATACAAGCTGAGTAGAACTTTAGCTCCAGTTTTGAGGGAGAAGGGGTCAGGGGAGGCTGTTTTGCAGACACTGACTGAGCACGTACTCTGCCAGGCACCATCCTATGCAAGTCCTACACATTATTTTATCAAAAATTCACAACAACCAGATGTGGTATATCATTACCTGTATTTTAATGATGGAGAAACCAAGGTTCAAGGAGGTTAAGTGATTCCTGCCAGGCCACATACTTAGTAAGTGGCAGAGGCAGGTTAAGCTGATAGGGATGAATCCACTAATATATACTCCTTACTCATTTCTTACAAAATAAAATAATAATAGTTGCATGATATACAAAAGCTTCTCACTTAAACATTCAGACCTATTACCTCCAGCAGCTCAGAAAGATTATCACCATCATCATCATTATTATTATTCCAACATCCACTGAGAATTTAAGACCTGCCAGGACTTGATCTAAGTATGCTGTATTATATATAAACTTACTCTCAGAAAAGCCACCTTTTGAGCAAGATACTATTATTTTCGTAATAAATAAACAGAGGCCGAGAAAGGCTGAATAACTTCACCCAGGTCGGAGAGCTGAGGTTGGGGCACAAGTTTTAAATCCAAACAGTCTGCCTTCAGACAGTAAGCTACATTGCCTACAAAGAGTACATTCCGGTGTTAGAGTTTCAAAATCCCAGCTCCGCCTCTTCCTGGGCAAATACAGTCCTCAGTTGCTCCTCATGTAAAATGCACTTCTGGAGACTTACCTGCTAACCAGGTGTCTCCATATGTATTCTCAAATGCATCAAAGTCAGAATCCCTATTCCGTAGTAAAAAGAAGTACATTTTTGAACTATGATAGATGTGCATTCAAATCTTAATACACTTACCAGCTAGGTGATTTAAACAAGATACTCAAACTTTCTGACTCTGTTTCTATCACCTGAACATGGGAGATAAAACACCTACCTAACAGGATTATTTGAGGGTTAGAAACACTATATATATTTTATAATGCCAGGGAATTGGAAAGAGTTCTATATTACACCTATTATTTTGTTATGGGGGCACCTGGGTGGCTCAGTCTTAAGCATCTGACTCTTGATTTCAGCTCAGGTCATGATCTCAGGGTTGTGAGATCAAGCCCCAAGTCAGGCTCTATCCTGGGTGCAGAGCCTGCTTGGGATTCTTTCTCTATCTCTGCCCCTTCCCCCTCCTAAAAATATATATATACTATACACATACACACACATATATGAACTTCTGAAAGTTCATTTCTGAACTTTATATATTTAAATATTTATATAACTATATATAACTAATTATTTTCTGAAAGGTCATTTCTGTAATGAACTCTATATATACATATAAATCTCTCTCTCTCTCTCTCTCTCTCTCTCTCTTTCTCTCTCTCTCTCTCTCTCTATATATATATATATATATATAGTAATATATATATAGTTATGGTTCTTGACCAGGAAAATATACTTTCATACCCACTAGCAGGTAGGGGGCAAAGTTCCCATATACCGTCCTCACGTGGGCATTACTAGAGAGGCTAGAGAACCCTCTTCTGGATACTAATAGAGCAGGACACCATCTTCTGTTGGGCCTAGTTGAAGTGTGGCTCTGATTCATGGGTGGGGATAGGATGGATTGACTGTGTTCTCTCTGCTCATCTTGTCCCTCACCAGTCCAGCCTGGTGAGAAATGTATTCATTGTGAGCCACCTCCAGTGAACTACAGTCAGGGTCCTGACTCTTACTCCATAACAATGCCCCTCCTTATTAGAGGGTGCTAAGAGAAAAGCACATGGCCTTTAGAGCCACACTTGCTTAGGCCCAAACCTCTAAGACTAAGTGAATGCAGGCAAGTTCCTTTGCAGAACATTGGGTTCCCTCCTGTCAGATGAGAGCTATCATACTAGGGGTTTGTGAGGATTAAGTACTTCATGACTATGACCTAGCTCAGTTACAGGTGCTTACACCCAACAAATTTTAATTATCTTCCTTCTTTGAAAAGAATAGTTCAAGGTCAACATTTTTCTGAGATGAACAAAAAGCAATGATATGCCGAAGATAAAGAAGGGGGCAAGTCTACACAAAACACTATTTTATTACTAACTCTGGAGATAATTAAATCTCCCCTGCCAAAAAACTTGCCTTATATCAAAGGACCTAGATTTTTTATGTTCATCAAGAAAAAAACAAGTTTAATGTATTCATTTACTTTGTATATGTCAATATTGGATCTGTCACAAGTTGTCAACTGAGACACTACCTTGTGGGATTTGGTTCCAATGCTTAGCATTGAAAGAGATATTATAAATACCAAGTATTATTGCAGCAGACCCCCATAACATTGGTTCCTGAGGCACTACTAGAAATCAACTGGTTATCTCCAAAGGATTTAGCCAAATCCATAGTACAAGTTGGCATTTTGCCTTACTAGCTAGAACAACAAAGGTGATCGCCCCTAACTGAATGAATCGGGCCATGCTACCCACATACCCACACAGATGACCTTGTGGATGACCAGAGCCAGAACTCACCTCTGCAATAGGGTAAGGAGGTCTCTTGTGTCTCTGCTTTTACTGTGCTCACTTCCATATAAGAGGATTTGAATCATCAGACACTGCAGGTAAGTTGAGAAACATAGCAGGTTAAAGAGTATCAGGAGGCAAGCACCTTCATGATAAACCAAACTCAGGAGAGCACTAGTAGAACTGAGATATCACAAGTTTACATTTCAAATTTCTGCACAGCATCTCCTCCTGGTTCTCAACCATGGAGGAAAAGGAGCCTAAATTGAAGGTTGTGCACACTCCCATGCTCTATGTGTATCATTCTACTTCATTGCACCTCCCTCTGCCATATGTGGCTACGGATCACCAAAGGGACAGGGCCAAACCATGGCTGCAGTATGGTTTCCATGAGGATTTTCCAAATAGCTATGACCAAGTGGATGGACATAAATGAAATCTGTGTAGGGTCCTAAATTTGCATTGTATCTTCAAGATGCTGAACATCAGCTAACAAAGAACAGTGGTCCCTGAGAGAGGGCAACAAGTGAGATAAAGCCAACGACTGCCCCCAGATTATTGCTTTGACAGCATTTCCAGGCCATGATGCAGGGAAAGGAACAAAGTGAGGCTCAGCAGACTCCACAAATTGAGGAGAAGGAGCTGGGAGTCCCAAGAGACTTTCAGAACACAGTAAAAGAGAAGAGACCGCTACATAGAAAAAGATCCAGGAATATCTGCAGTGGGTCCCCCTTAAGTATTCAGCAGAGTCCTGATGAGCACATCCATGTGAGAAAACTGCCAACACTAGGGTAACAATCAGCTGAAGGGGCTGGAGGGAACAGGGCTTGGAGCAGTGCTTTCTTCCAACCAGCCAATCTGGAAAGTCTCATTTTTCACGGGCCTTTGGGTGGTATACTCAGAAGTCTTTTGCCTCAGGAATGGGGGATAATTAGTCCTTGGCTAAATGCTGCTCTAGTCTCATCTACTCAATCTTAAAAAGCAAGACCTAAAAGGACCAAACTATAAATTAACTGACTTCTAGAAAAAGTTCAAAAATACTTACAGGAATACAAAAATATCCAGCACGAATAAGGTCAAATATACAATGTCTGGCATCCAAACAAAGATAGCAGGGCATATAAAGAAGCAAGAAAGTGTGATTCACATGAGATAGTACAGTGAGAGAAACCTACCAAAATCAACCCCAAACTGATACAGATGTTAGAATTAGCAGAGAAATATATTAAAACTGTTATTGTAACTTTAATCATGTATTAGAAAAATGAAGTGGGGACATGAAAAACATATTTTTTTAAAAGACCCAAATCAGGGGCGCCTGGGTGGCTCAGCGTTTAAGCAGCTGCCTTTGGCTCAGATCATGATCCGAGGGTCCTGCTGGGATTAAGCCCCATGTTGGGCTCCCTGCTCAGTGGGGAGCCTGCTTCTCCCTCTCCTGCTCCCCCTGTTTGCGTTCCTTCTCTCACTGTGTCTTTATTTGTCAAATAAATAAAATAAAATAAAATAAAATAAAATAAAATAAATATAAAAGACTCTGGTCCAGGCATGGGCACAACAAAAAAGTTTCTGTATGATGTTCTCCCTTAGAACATCTAAGAAAGTGAATTTTTAGTTTACTTAAAAAATAAAAAGGAATAGAGAAGGAAGGAAAAAAAGAAAGAAAGAAAGGGAGGGAGGCAAAGGGAAGCCAGAGGGAGGGGAGGGGCATGAAAATAAACACACACACACACACACACACACACACACACACACACATCACTCCTCACATTGTGCTTAGGGGTCTGGGAGAAAATGTAAAAGGCAGCCAGAATTCACCTTCCTTAACAGCTGAATCGCCTTTCTGAGCTGTCCTTTGGCAAAGCAGATCCTGCCCATGTTGTAAAAAGTTTCGGCCACCTTTTCACTACAGTCACCATAGCTGATGACCTGAGACTTCAGTGCAGCCTTTAGCAGTCTATAAGCCTCCTGGGGAGTTAAAGAAAAGAGTTTTATAATCATCCTGGCAATTCTGAAGGAGTATGCCAGTTCTAGTCCTCCACTCTATGGAGGAGGCATTCTACGCCACACTGATGTGATTCACCAGGATCAGGCTGTTGTGACTGTGACCCATGTGTTTCTGTGAATAATTAACATTCTGAGCTTACATTTAATAATAACAGTTAATTCATGCATGACGATTATATTTGTTTTACAGATGAAGGAATAGACACAAATAAAATCTAAGGCCTGGCTCAAGATTGCACTGCCTCTTGTTGAGTTACCTGTTCAGATTTACCTGTTTTTCCCCATTCTGGACAAGCCATTTGCAGAATTCTTCAATGGTTGTCAGTGTTTCATAATCTGTTGGGCCCAATGTTGTTTGATAGGCATTGATACTCTTTATAAAATATATCTCAACAGCATCTGCCAAAAAAGGAGAACATTGAAGGCAGGCCGCTAGCCTTTACAAGGAGGTAATGCAGCTTTGGCTCAATTAGACATTTCATATTTAAAGTCATTGCCTGTTTTCATTCCAGGTCTCATAAAGACCCTCGAAAAGTCTGATATATAATTTGATGGTATCAGTTGATGTAATTTTATTCTGTTGATGAAGAGTATGGATTTTTCTGTAGGAAAAGAAAGCCATGTCTGAATAGCCTTATCCTAAAACCCCAAATAACTACCATATTAAACTCCCAAAGCAATGAATGACTATATATTTAGCTAAATCAAACTCTGATAGAGAGTATTGTTTACTCGGATTCCTGCTAAGGGAGTGTGTGTGTGTGTGTGTGTGTGTTTGCTTCAAAAGTATTTTAAATAGAGTTGTTATTGTTTAAAAATTTGCTTTTAATGTTGTCTTTTATTCCAAACATAACAGATGTTTATGTAATCAGTCTAGAAAATACAATAGAAGCAAAAAGAAAATGACAATCATCTCCATGCACACTACTCAGAAGCAGGCACTGTTAACATTTTTTGCCACTGTATTAAGATATAATTGGCATACCACACATTCAACCATTGTAAGTACACAGTCTGATGCTGTTTTAGTAAATTTATAGTTACATAATCATGATCAAAATCCAGTTTTCAAAGATACCCATCACTCCCAAAATGTCTCTTCATGGCTGGTTGTAAGCAACGTCTGCTCTCATCTGTCTGGCAATCACTGATCTTTGTTCTATCTCTGTTCTTGCCTCTTCTGGAAATTTCATATATTTGGATTCATACAACATGTACTCTTTTGTGATTCTTTCATGCATCATGCTGTTTTTGAGGTTCATCTATGTTCTGGCGTGAATTAGTACTTTATTCCTCCTTCTGCTGAGTAGATACACATTTTGTTTACCATTCACAAGTTGATAAATATTTGTGGTTGTGTATATACTCTATTATCCACATATCAGTTCCAGTTCTCTTTGTTCTTTTCTGTGGATTTGAGTTAACATGTGCTCCCATTTTCTTTCGGCCTAAGGGCTTCCTTTAGTATTTATTTTAGGCCAAGACTGCTACCAATAAATCTTGTTTATCAGGAAATATTGATCTCACCTTCATTTTCTTTTCTTTTTGTAAAGTATTACTGAGGCAATCTCTACACCCATGTGGGGCTCAAACTCACAACCCCAAGATCAAGAGTCACAAGTTCTTCCGACTGAGCCAGTCAGTGAGACAGAGTGACTGAGTCAGTCAGCCAGTCAGTCTCACCTTCGTTTTCAAAGGGCAGTTTTTCCTGAATATACAATTCTTAGTTGAATTTTATTCCAATATTTTGAATGTTTTTCCATTACTTTCTAGCCTCCATTATTCTGAGGGAAAATCAGCCATTAATCATATCACTGTTTCCCTGAACAGAGCTGTTTTTCCACTACTGCTTTCAAGATTTTCTTTTTGTCATTCAGCAGTTTGACTATGTGCTAGTTGTGATTCTCTCTGTGCTTATCTTACTTGGCATTGAGAATTCTGGATCTGTAGATAACAAACCCGGGAAGCTGGGGGTCATTATTTCTTCAGATAATTTGCTGCCTCATTCTGCCTTCTGAGGCTCCTATTACATGTCTGTTGATACACCAGGTGTTGTCCCACAGATCTCTTATGCTTTGTTCATTTTTCTAAATCAATACTTTTTTTCTCTGCTCTTTGGAGATCATCTCTAGTGCCGTATCTTTGAGCTATCTCATTCTCTCCTCTGCCATCTCAAATCTGATGTTGAGACCATTTAATGAATTTTCATTCAGTTGCTGTATATTACAACTCTAGAATTTCCATTTGGTTGTTTTTTTCCTAAATAGTTTATATTTCTCTGTTGAGACTTCCTATTTTCATTACATTTTCTTTTAATTTTTTGGACAGTTTCCTTTAATCCTTTGAAGATATTTTATAGCTGCTCTTAAGTCTTCGCTAAATCCAACATGTAGCCCACTCAGAGTCAAGACATATTGACTATTCTTTTTCTGGGTGTAAGCCATGGGTTGTTTTCTTTGTATGCTTCTCCTTTGTTGAAAACTGTACATTTTAGACATTATGTAGTAGCAACTACAGATTCTGATATATTTTTGTGAGTTTTTTTGTTTGGTTTGGTTTTAATGAGTTGCCTAGACTTAACTATAGTCTACCTCCTCCTATGGTGTCTGGATGTTAATGTCTTTGCTCAGATGTTTGATTTCTTTAAAGGAGACTTTATTTTTTAAGGCGGTTTTGCATTCACAGAAAAACTGAGTGGCAGGTACAGTGATTTCCCATATGTCCTTGCCCAGATACAGACAGCTGCCAAAACAATTTCTGGGTGTGTCTGTGAAGGGGTTTCTGGAAGAGATGAACAACTATGTACAACTATGTACTATGTACAACTATGTACAACTATGATACAACTATTTATCAGTATTGAGTAAAGATCTGTCCTCACCAAGTTGAAAAAAAAGGGGGGGGGGACAAAGGAAGGTGAATTTTCTTCTTCAGCTGGAAACCCATCTTCTCCTGTCTTCAAATATTGAAGCTCCTGCTTCTTAGGCCTTTGGACTCTGAGACTTACCAGTGTTCCCTTTACTCCTATTGGTTATATTTCTCTGAAGAACCCTGACTAATACAGATTTTGATACCAGGAGCAAGCTCAAAAACAAAGACATTTGTTTGCCAAAGCCATGGCTGAGTACACAATCAGCCAGCAGCAGACAGCAACACTGAGCCCCAGTTTTGGCACCATTACCTAAGGTAATTAGCCAGCTACCTGGTAACAAGCTGATTACACTGAACCATTTTCTTCTTGGTCCTTAAGCAGAAGAGATATCTACTCTGGATATAAATTTGCCTTCCCTGTATGCAATGCTTCTACCAAAACTACCATTCGTAACCCACAAATGCCTCACCCACCATCATGGTATTTTCCACACAGCATTGCTTTGGATCAAGGAACTCACTTCAGGAATGAAGGCTTCTTTGGTCATCCCACCAAAGTAAAAAATCATTACCAGGTGAGGTGGTTGTTAAAGGCAAAGAGAACACAGGATAGGTAGAACAAAAAGGTAGTTACAGCAGTTACAACCAGATGACCACTTAGAGAACTGAGGACTGTAACTGTTGTTTCCTCATTTTGTTATAAAGATGCTTGTGTGTACATATGCCCATTTAAGCAAATATCTTATTTTTCTTCTTTTATTCCCTTTTCATGTAACAGAAGACATAGTGATATTATATCACTATTTAAGTATTGTTCATTTTAATCATAGTTTTCAAGTTATGGAATATCAGAAGAGTAAACATCATTGAAGGACTTTATCTCTTCTGGGAAAGGGTAACTAGTACATATCCAGTAGTACCCAGGGTAGTTATACCATATTAGACAAAATTATATCTCTATTTGAAGATTAAGTATGTTTGAGGAGATGCTTGTAAGGATCAAGCTGACAAGGAGTGGACTTGTCATGTTTCATTTTGTGTAAACTTGACCATGCTAAGGGATCCCCAAATAGCTGATAAAACATTATTTCTGGAGTGCATCTGGGAGGGTGTCTCCAAGAGAAATCAGCATCTGAATCCATAGACTGAGTAAAGAAGATCTGCCCTCACCAGTGTGAGTGGCCATCATTCTATCCATTGAGGGTTCAAACAGAATTTAAAAAGAAACAAAAAAAGGTAGAAGGGTGAAGTCTCTCTCCCTAATCTTGAGCTGGGATGCCTATCTCCTGCCTTTGGACATCACATCCTTGTTTTAAATTCCCAGTCTGATCATTCAAATATCCCTACTATATCTGAGTCTGGTTCTGATGCTTGCTGTGTCTCTTCAAACTGTGTGCTTTTTAGGTTTCTTTTTTGTTTTGGGATGTGTCAGGGTCACCTCCCTGGCTCAGTCAGTAGAGCATGTGACTCTTGATCTTGGGGTCATGAGTTCAATCCCCACATTTAAATAAACTTAAATTTTTTTTAAAGATTTTATTTATTTTTTTGACAGAGAGAGATCACAAGTAGGCAGAAAGGCAGGCAGAGAGAAGTGGGGGCGGGGGAGGAAGCAGGCTCCCTGTTGAGCAGAGAGCCCGATGCGGGGCTCGATCCCAGGACCCTGAGATCATGACCTGAGCTGAAGGCAGAGACTTTAACCCACTGAGCCACCCAGGCACTGCTAAACTTAAAAATTTTTAAGATCAATCAAGCTGTATGTCTTTTTCTTGCCTATTGCACTGGCTAGGACATTCAGTATTATGTTAACTAAAAGAAATGAGAATGAACATCCTTGCCTTGTTCCTGAACTTATGAGCAAAAAACTCACTCTTTCACCAGTAAGCATGATGTTAGCTGTAGGTTTTTTGCACATGCCTTTTATCAGATTGAGAAAGTTCCCCTTCCATCATGAAAGGATGTTGCATTTTGTCACATGCTTCTTCTGCATCAGCTGATAAGATTATGTGCTTTTCATCTTTGGACTGTTAAAATGGTAGAGTACATTCATTCAGGTTTAAATACTGAACCAGCCTGATATTCTCAAGAAAAAAGCTCCCCTTGATCATGGTATATTATTCTTTTTTATACGTTGCTATATATTTTCTTGAGGATTTTTTGCATTTATGTGCATGAAGGTATTGCTTTATAGTTGTGTTTTCATTTTTTCTTGTAGTGTCTTTACCCAGTTTTGGTATTAGGGTACTGTTAGCCTCATTAAATGAGCTGGGAAATGTTCCCTCCTCTTTAATTTTCTGGAAAAGATTTTGTAGGATGGATGTTAATCCTTTAAATGTTAAGTAGAATTACCCAGTGACATCATATGGACATTGATATTTCTTTCTCAGAAAGTTAACTACAAATTCTTTTTTTTTAATTAAGGGCCTATTCGAGTTTTCTGTTCATCTTGGATTATGTTGTTTGTTTTCATTTTATTTGTGTTATTTTGTGACAGACACAAGTTTTAGATCTTTTTATAATTAAAGCTACCAACCTCTTTTCTAGTATAACTTCGTGTGCTCAGACAGTTCCTTTCCAGTTTTTAGTTTTAGAAATTTTGATTCCAGTATTGTGTTTCCTTCTAGATAATTTACATTTTCAGTTTTGATGTTAAAATGGGACCCATTTGGAATTTAGTGAATGATAGGAGGTGAAGATCCAAATCTTCTTTAAAGTTAAAAATTAGTATACAAGAAAATAATAAGGCAGCCTTAGAATCTCCCAACTCCAGAAGCATAAAATTTTCTTATTGGAACAAAATTTTTACTCATCAATGTTTACTCAATATTCAAATAGAGATTAATGTGTTTTAACCACAAAGACTATTTTTAAAAAATTCAAACATATAGATGGAGTACAAATACTGTTAGTATACACAAGAAAATTTTTTAAAGAAGGAAGATGATTAGCTAGAAAACACAGAATCAGAAAGTCTTCAATGAACATATATGTTAAAGAAAAGAATAACCAAAATATCAAATAACTTCTGAAAATTGAACAAAATTGTTTAATGTCATGGGGAAATATAAGAATAGAAAAAAGTAGGATGAAAAACTTTTCCTATAATTGTTTCTTTTTCATACACAACTGGAAAATAATGTACACCTAAATGGATTCCTTTGATAAGCAGAGAAAATCAACATTTTTAAATGTTCTTCACATATTCTTCAGAAATCCCAAATTCCTCCTGATGGGCCACTGAATCCATTAGCATCATTAATCTGACCCAGTCATCTCATCTGAGCAGGGCTGCAGTCCTTCCTCACCAGTTCTTTTGTGTCTTTCCCAAAGCTACGAACTTTCCACAGGATGACCTTGCCTGAGAAAGGACTACTGCCAATGGGTGAATTCATGCCTTAGTTTTCCTCCAGAACCCCCAGTACCTCACTTTTGAATATAGGTCATGAAAATTCTAGCTGCTACAAATATTCTCTCTTGTCAGCCAGAGGAAAAGAGTCAAGGAGGTTGAGAATGGAGGAGGAGGGGAGAAGGAGCCCATGTTTTTGTCTTTTATCACTGGATTTCCTCATCAACCGATATGCCACAGGTCATATTCATAGCATGTATGATCTCTCTACTCCTTATGCAGGTGAATTCTGCTGAGATTCTAAGGGAGTAAAGGAAATAGAAATCAGATGATTTTATTGGTTTTGATGTTCCAACTAATTTGTGGAGATATTGTGCCTAAATCCATGTGTAAATGATTTCATACAAAATGCATCCAGTCTAATTTTTCCACTACAGTCATGAATAGCTGATTATAACCTGTCAATATTGATAGATAGACCATTGCCAGTGTGCTTCCCTCCCAAGGGAAATGATGATAACTGCAAACTACCCCCTCCACCTACCCCTGTGTTGGGCCTCTCCAGACATGGCGTGAGCCTTGGCTAGTAATGCACTGGCCTCTGCAGTTTGGGGGCTGGCTTCAGTGAACAGAGAAACACAGATAGAATAGGCCTGGAATAGAGAAAATCATGATCAAGTAAGTACCCAAACAACAGTGTTTTACTGAGGATTTTCTAATAGCTCTCATGAAATTGCTAGTTGAGAGCTGCATGTACCCAATCATGGAGTTACAAGAGAGATGAGTTTGAATCCCAGTTACTTCCTCACTGTGAGCTGTGAGTCTTGAACAAGTAACTTCCCCTTCACACGTAGAAGAAATATACAGCTTCCATCAACTAGGGTTTGGAAAAGATTAAATGAGATAGCACATGCAAAGCGCTGGGCGTACATAGTACCATCACATGGTAAGTCCTCGATAAACATTAGCTATTATTATTTCTTATTAAGTTTCATAGCAAAATTACAATCACAACTTTAGCTCAGCCTCTCAAAGGCTCGTTATCAAAGGAAGTGCAGGGGAGTTGAACATGGATCAGAAAGCCATCCTGCCTGGGTTCCTATCACACTTCAGCCACTTATGACATTGGGCAAGTCACTAACGTCTTCAAATATAAAATAGGAATTTCGGAAATGACTCTTGCAAAAAGTTGCTGAAAAGATTAAATGAATTAATATATGTGAAGTGTTTAGAATACCACCTGGAATGTCATAAGCATGAGAGAAGTGGCGATTTTATTACTATTATCATTCATACTAAAACGGAAGGAGAAAGAAGAGAGAAACCATCTGGTCCGCTTCCACCAGCAAGACAAAAACCACCCAAGCTTCACAGTTCACAGGGTGAACACCACAAGGTATTTCAGGAGCTCCAGCGATTATCAGACAACACTATGGAGCTAAGACAGTTCAGAGCAGTTAAGAGTATAGGCTCTGAGGGCTCAGATTTCCTAAGTTCAAATCCCTACTCTCCTACTTGTTAGCCACACAACTTCAGCTGAATTAGCTATGACTCTTTCTGCTTCAGTTTCCTCACCCATAAAAAAGATAAAAATAATAATAGTGCCTCCACAGCACGGGGTTACTGCATGGACTAAACAGCTACACCCTCAAGTGCACATAGTAAAGGCTTTCCATAGGTGTTAACTATTACTTTTCGCTGGGAAACACTGATTATACGTTGTTTTGTCTATTCTGATCTGACCAATGCTTACAGAGCTGCATTCCCTAACATTTCTCCAGCGTATGATACTAGTAACTTTGGATTGTGGGATTACCTGCAATGCCTTTGCTACAATGTCAGCCTGTTTTCATATATTCCATTGAATTGTATTGGACGTGTTCTATGATACAGAAAATCAGATATTTTGATCCACTTTTGACTTTGGGAGATACCTGAAGCCACAGGCCAGATTCTCATTTGAGGAGAGAAAAGGTGAGTGCAACAAGCAGTTTCAAGGCAAGTTTCAAGTACATGATAGGTAAAAATGCCTTACACTGTTTTCATTATAATATATTCAACATTCCTTCCGGTTCTGTTTTGTTTTCCCCTGGGCATTTGTCAAATTAGTGATCTCCAAGTGAAAAACCTTTTTGTCAGTTTAAGTTTAGACTTGTTGATACAAACAGCTAGACTAGCCTAGAGGACAAATGACACCATTACACCAAAATATCACGATTTTTTTCATTTAAAAAAAAGCCCTTTGTGTTTGCTAAAGACTTAAGTTTGGTTGCCCCTATGGCTTTTTTCCCTGGAGCAGACTCACTTGGTTATCTGTTCCTAGTACCCACAGAATTGAGGGGAGGCCTGGGATGGGAAATCTGGTCTCAGATCGGGTCAAAGAGCAGATACACCCAACCTTGAGTCAGTGTTCTCTGACCCTGTTGTTTAAGGTTGAGGAAGGGCTCTTGTGGATCCGGCAGGAAATCCATCCCACCCCTTTGTTCTTCTGAGAAGCCCAAGCTTCCCTGGCCCTGAGATTAGGGCCTGGGGCCAAACACAGCCTCTAGGTTGGGGGTCCAGCCAACTTACTAACCTGCTGCAAGTACTGGATGGCCCGATCATGATTCCTCCTCAGCTGCTCAATCTGAGCGATTTCCTCATATAGACTGACCAGATCCAATGTCCTATCACCCTCAGCAGCAATAACATTGCCAATTGCCTTTTCAAAGTATGCCAGAGCGAGGTTCAATCTGTGGATGGCCAAGGAGGCCCTATAAGAGGGACAAAGATCAAAGTCAGAAAGTTGTCCAGACACAAAAGGAACTGATTCTAAGAACAAAACAATTTGGCCTTCATAGGCCAATCATATCAGTGGCTAGCTAAAAATCCAGTCTTGCAGAAACAAACTCCTATTAACCTGCATTTCACCAACCAGATTCCACTGACTACCATTCGCTTCCATTCATATAGCATGCTGTAGTCTAATTTTATAAAAAAAAAAAACAAATGGAAAAAATGGCTTCCAGCAATTCACAAAGGTGGGATAATTTACTCATAAACACAGATTTTCTAGAATCAAAATAAAATTTTATTACTTCTGGCTCCCTCTCTTTCAAACCAATGCAAAATTAATGCTTTGTCTTGTTTGATTTAGTTTAGTTTAGTCCTCCTCAGTTAAAAATGAGAAAGGAAAGAGAAAACAACATAAATATCCCTTCCAAAAGGTAGTGGTTAAATAAATTATGACATGTGATACAATAAAATACTTCAGACTTTAAAAATCATGCCTCTTTTTTAGACTAAGTAATATGGGCAAAAATTAAGCGTGCTAAGTTAAAAAAAAAGTGATATGACTATACTAGAAATTGACCTTGATATATCTTTCTATCTATATACCTATCTTTAACTAAAATGTATATCTATCTATATCTATATCTAACTAAAATGCCCATAGTAGTTATGTTTAGGGGGTGAAAATAAAACTAACTTTTATTTTCTTCTTCATAACTGTATTTTCAAAGCTTCCAAAACAAAATAGAATTTTTTAAAATGAGAATAAAATAGCATTCCATTCAGGTTTATCCCTCTAGACACAGTAAGATACAAGGAGAACATGGTAGTTCAAAGCTGTTTCTCACAAGTTATTGGCTTAACAGTCAAACTCCAATAGCCTATATTTTCTTCCAAATAAAACAAGGGTTGAGGTCTATCCCGATGGGGCTTTTTCCGTAGACCTACATCGTTGGAAACACATCATAGAGTATTTGTGTGGTTTCCTTTATTCACAGAACTATGTGTTAGATCTGTGGGAAAGAACTACAAGACACTTACCCTTATCTGCTAAAACTCTGACCTAATAGTCATATTTTTTCAATCTTAGGTATTGGTGTATCCCAACAATCTGTACAGTTCTAGGGTGATAGTTTAGGGGTGAATATGATTTGAACTCATTCACATTTAGAGGGTGTTTGAAATTGAGAACCAGGCAGATCCACACTCAGACCCTAAACAGGGCCCTGAAGTAAAGACATTGGATACCAAAGATTACAGGTGGGGAGTTCTTAAAGTATGTCCGTATTCAAATGGAGATGCAAGAAACCCAGCTGAAAGAACTCTGGAGTGACAGTGACAACTGTGGATTGATCAAGTTCTTTTAAAAAGGGCCGTTTTGAAGATTATGATTCTAACTTTGGAGGAACTATGGTGATGAGCAGTGACTGGCAGTGGAAGGAATCACATGTAAAAACTCCTTAAATAAAAATTTATTGGCTTTAAAAAAAAAAACAAATAAAACAAGGCTAAGAATACCCAAATTACATGGTTGTTGTGAAGATTAGGTTAAAATTTATACATGAAATCACTTAACACATAGCGGATACACAATCAATATTCCTCCCCCTCACCTCTTACTTCCATCTTTGTATTTCCAAATTGAAAAAAGAATCTGTGTGTATAAAATTATTTTAGATAAGGCATTCTGCAATTTACAATTTAATCATCAAAAGAGTACTGGCCTGTTATCTGATAATTCTTTACCAAAATATTTGATGAATCAGACCACTATCTCTTGACCATAAGAGCATAAGTTACAGAATGAAAACGCCTCTCGCCAAGTTGTAAGGAGATATTAGCCAAGATGTCTGGCCTGTATAGTCACACTTTATTTTCCCTACCTTTAAAATGAGAAAAGGGATTTACTACATATTTGTTCACTCTAAAACATAATTAGATGCGGTACAGAAGGTAAGCTATGGATTCATATGCCCCATCTACATGCCATCTCCTCTATTTACTCTTTCTGTGCCTTAATTTTCTTATCTGTGAAATGAAAATAAAAATATCTACCTCATAGGCTTATAGTAGAGGATTGAAGTAAATAAATTATGTGAAGCACTTAGACTAGTGTCTTGGATACAGTTATACCTAGTAAATGTTCCAACACTTAGAACAGCGCAAGTACAAAATAGATGCTAGGTAAATATCGCAGAATGAATGAATGAACTATGCACTAGAATTTACTCTGAAAAAGGAACACGGCTATCTTTCCCATGAAGCACAAAAACCTTAGCCACTGACCCATGTGATAGCAGCAGACATTCACTACACTCTAATTTATGGCCTTGTGGACTTACATCCCTTGTTAGATTAGCTCTGGGCATTCCAACACCTCCCCTCCATTTCCCATTTGATTTCTAGATTCATGGTTAGAGCAGGCAGACGTGACTCATGTATTTCACTTACTTAACCTTTAGTTACCTTCCCTACCACGCCAAGTGCTTACAGTTTTGGAAACAGATTGCTTTCAAGGGTGTGAAGATATTTTTGAAATCTAGGGAATAGTAAGCCTTTTAGTCTTTTCTTCTGATAATCTGATGGGCCCACTCTCATATGTAAATATCATGATTCTCTCTGAGGATACCTAACTCAGCTGCAAAACAGCTAAGTCTGGTTCTGACTTAAACAAATCCCATGTACTTGATTTCCATATGGAACAGAACTTTCCTTAAAAATGCACATGCTGTGCCTAGCTTCCGTGGGCCTCCAATAAACAGCCTTCATGAAGTGTTCCTTCCTCGTCTTTTAAGATATCATACTTAATGACAAATGTGGGTGGCAATTCAGAAAAAGATACAATTTGACAATAAGTGTGAGAGGCAGCATAAGGGCTAGGAGTCCCTCAGTTCAGACCATGGGTCCAACACTTAAAGCTCATCACCGTGGATGGTATGTTTGCTCTCAGCCTGGCTTTCCCTGCCCTCTGTCTACTGAGATCGTGACTGTGCCGGATGGGACCTCAGTGGTGTTTTAGGATTAAAGGGCACTGCCCGCAAAGCTCGGATCGTGGGGTGTACTTTTGAGAAACACAAGCCTCTTTTACCATCATGTGAGGCTCTGGGGTTTTTTTCATCCTGAGTATTTTTCTCCCATTCTGTAGAGAACACACGGAACCATCATGCAGTTCCAGGCCTCCTTCACAAAGCCCAAGTATCTCAAAGCCCAGATCTTACCTGCCCAAAGCAATGGTCAGGTCTTTCTCCGAGACTTGGGATTTGCGAACACCTCCCTTAAATAATTCTTTCAGCTCCTCCATGTTTCTCTCTGCCTTCTGCAGGTTGAGATAAGCCTCTCTGCCAGTGACACAGTCAAGGAAATGGCCAGGCACACCAGCTCCCCCACTGCCAGGGACAGCAGGTGATAAGCAAATAAAAGGGCCCTTTGGGAAAACAAAGCAGAATTTGAAAATGGGCACTTTACTGTGTTCTTTATTTCCCTTATGTGTATGTCGTCAAGAATTCTTTAGAAAACAAACAGAGCCCCAGGTTTCCCCTGCTGTAGCCTGAATCCAGCGCTGGGGTGGGTGGTGAGCATGGGAGGTGTGAACAGAAACTGCACCCTTGGCTATGTTTCCTGTGCAGGCGTCCACCGCAGGCAAGAGCCACGCAGTTTTCCCGCGTTGGTTCCTATGAATGATAAAAGAGAGGAACGAAGTCTGCTGAAAGGGACTTTCTGGATCATTTAGAAAGTCCAAGCAAAGCAGGTTTTTGGCAAGAAGCAAACAGCAGGAAATCCCCTCAATTCCCAAACATCCTTCTATTTCCTGCATTTTCAATAGCCCCTTCTAAGGGCATAACAGAGGAAGGCCAGAGATCAGTTTTTGCAAGCTGAGTATCAAGACCAAAAGAGTAGAGAGACAGGGATGTGTAAAAAGGAGAGGCCAGGGACACACGGTCTCAAAGACGACTCATGATTAATTTTTTTTTAATAAGGAATGTTTTATAAATGTGTGTGGCACCCCCCCACAGAGGCCACGCTCATCTCTGTACCGCTCCAACTGTGGTTTACATGAACATGAAATGCCCTTAACAGTTCTCAAGGAGAGATGGTACCAAAAGGCTGTCAAAAATCACAAGCTTTTGGCAGAGTAATAGTTTTGCCCTGGGATATAGAGAGCTTTTTTTTTTTTTTGGCTATTTTGCTTGGCCTCCAGCTTCACGGGTAGTATTCTTGACAGCATTTCAGAAAAACAAAAATGATCAAGAGTCCATTAAATCAGAGGTTTCTGGCGCATGTTACAATCACCTGGGGGACTTTTTAAAAATTTCAATAAACGGATGCACCCCAGACCTCCTAAGTCACAACCTCTGGGGTGCGACCAAACAGCAATACTTTTTAAAGCTCCTCAGGGGATCCAGGGGATTGCATGACCCGCAGTGCTGTAAATTACCACCCATTCTCCCTCTTCCTGACATTCCTCCCACCACCATCGCCTGCGTCTTCACTGCCAACACTGATCCTCTTGGTGCTCAATGAAAGGTAGGACAGATGCTGAAAACTTTTCACCTGGCTAGGGGATGTGTCACCAGTGAGATCCCTCCCATGGCTCAACTCCAAGTTCACATGAACAGACAGAGGAGGGACATCCCTACCTATCTGGATGGAGATGAGAGGCTAGCGAGGGAGGCGGCAGCTGGCTGTTGGGACAGAGCCATGGAGCCTGGTTCGATCTCCCCGACTCCTGTGTGAGACAGCCCGTCTGGCAGGCGCAGGAGGCACCAGGCCTCGATCACCAGACCCCCACTAGTAAAGGAAGGATATCGGTTCTGCAGGAGCCAGGCCACCCCCAGGGTGTAGTACAGCATGACCAGAGCGTCCAGGATCTCCTTCTTCTCCTTGTTTGAGGTCGTGCTGTCCTTCCAGGTCAGCAGCGTGTTCTTGGCGGACTCAGCGTGTTTCTTGGCCTGAGCTGGGAGGCCTGGGGGAGTTGGAGGGTGGGTGGCAAGACGAAAAACATGAAAAAGGCATGTTTCAGTCAAAGACCTTTCTGGGAAGAAATAGGTGGGTAGTGTGGTTGGCATATGGTCCAGAGTACTCGTTTCCAGAGCTGGCGGTGCATCAGAATCATCTGGAATACTGGTAGAGAATATAGATTCCTGGGTCCCACCCCAGACCTACTGAGTTGGAATCTTTAGAGAAAGGAAGTCCAGGAATCTATATTTTTAATTAATTCCACACGTGCTTCTTAAGCAGCCATCACAGCATGAATCTGTGGGCCTCTGTTTGGAAATCACTGATCGAGACAGGAGTAGAAGCTGAGTGTCCTGTTCCCAGTTCTGCCCCTAATGCCATGTGACCTTTTCAACCCACAAAGCTTCTCCATCCTCCAAATGTAAAATGACAGTAATTATAGAAGCTGCTCCTTTACCAAATACCTGGAGATGGTCCAGAAACAAACTAGGTTATGCCACAGAGTGTTTGCTATGCTTTGAGCTTTCTGGAAAAGGCATTCTAAAAATACAAGGGCTTATGAATACAATTACTTCCATCTGGGGATTTTTTTGAATCCAAGATGAGGCTGGTTATACTAATTGGTCACACACATACACGCACACGCACAGAATCCAATTCCTGAATGCAGTGAGGCCTCTTGCTAAGAAGACAAAGGGAATGCCAAACTCCAGCCAGACAGAACTTTCAGTATGCTTCCCCTTGTTTCCTTACTAGAGGCTGGAGTTTCTGGGCACCCACTGGAATTGCTGTTTGTCCAGTTGGCTGACAGAGGTAGACTTGACAACACTCAATTTCTAGACCTCATTCTTCATCTTCCAACTTAGCTTATGTCCAGGGATCCCTGATGGGACAAGAGAAAGCCTGGAGAAAAGAGGAAGGTCAGCCGAGAGCTCATGATCCTAGGAGTTCTCCACTCCACTGCAGACAGGCATGGCTGGTGTTCCCATTCAGCTCTCCTCTCTGCAGGCTAGTAAACATGTTCAGTCCTATCAGGGAGACCCACTGTGCCCCTAATTCCCACTTCACACTCCCAGCCCTCAGTCTGTTCTTCCTTCAGCCGTTGGAGCCTGGTTTCTCAGTGCAGGTATGGTCAATGGCCATCAAGATGACTTGAAGTCTTCAGGCCTGCAGCCCTCATACATTACAGATGTGCAGGAGCTCCTTAACGAGCTGCCACAAGGGCCGGGGTGGGGAGGGGGAGGTGGAAGGAAGAATAGAGCTTCCCTGGGAGAGGCCTACAAATGACCTGAAAGCCAGGAAGTCACTGTAGAACACTCAGACATGCCTGTCCATAGGTCTTAACTCAAGAGAAAAATGCAGGTCTGTGGCAAAAGAGAGGGCTGTGCCCCAAGTTACCAGGTAACAGCAGCCCTCAGACTGCCCTGCACATCAAAAACACCCTTCTAAAATGCCGATTCCTGGGCCTTGCTTCCCGCTGTGATTCACGGGTTCTGAGGTGAGAACGGAGGATTCACATTCCTAACCACCATTCTAGGGGATGACGTGATGCGGGCTGTCTAAGGACCACATGTGGAGAAGCATTCGGTAAAATCTTTATACAAGAGGAAGGTCTCATCTTATTTTTGAAGAGCAGGTAGTTTGACTGATGGAGAAGGATGAGGAAGGATGCCCACTTGGGGTAATCAGTCTGAGGCCATAAAGACAGAATAAGCAAAAACCCTGTGTGGCATGCGCACACACACACATACACACTGGTGGGATGGAGCGGGGTTTGTAGGAGTGTCAAGGCATAAGGAGACCAGCCTGACTGAAGGAGAGGTTTACATGTAAAGACGCATAAAGTTAGAATTGGATGGGTCAAATGGAGTCTTGGGGGTGCCTGGGTGGCTTGGTCAGTTAAACGTCTGCCTTCAATTCAGGTCATGATCTTGGGGTTCTGGGATGCAGCCCTGTGCAGGGCTCCCTGCTCAGCAGGGAGGAACTGCTTTTCCTTCTCCCTCTGCCGCCCCCGCCGACTCCCAGCTCATGCTCTCTTTCTCTCTCTCAAATGAATAAATAAAATCTTTAAAAATAAAATAAGATGGAGTCCTGGATACCAAAGGAGGAGGTTGGATTTATAGGTCTTGAGGAAGGGAGCAGCAACTGAAGTTGCCAAGGACATCAGACCAAGAAAATAAGACAGGAAACTGAGAAATCTGACTTTTTAGCCAATAGGCTATTTCCTACAACTAGGTGGGTCCTGGGAGTGTGTCAGAAAGAAGTGCAGGAGTCCAATCTAGATGCTCCCCTCAGTCTGTAGGAAGGAGAAAAGTGAAACTGGTTGAGCCACTGAAAATCACCCCTGCCTGAGTCAGCACAATTTTGCTTCTGGGCTCCTGAGTGGAAAACAAATGAGAAAGCTGTCCTGAGGCTTTGCCAGTCTGCCTACCATGTACCCCCCAAGTGCCCAGTGCTGGGCTGGGAGACCCCCCAGCGGAACACTTCTACCCTAAGCTCAGCAGCTAATGAATTATAGGGTTCCTTGTCTCTGCTTTATCACGCCCCACACTTTGGTCCTTCCGGTGAAAAAGCTGAGCTGGTGACCCCTGGGCTTAAGCAAACTGAACTAGGCTCTCGACTAAAAATGGCTCATTAAACTTCAAAGTCAGCCCTAAGGGAAAAAAGTCATTCCACTAACGCTCCCAGAATCCACTCTTGTCTTCAAAGTGGGGGCAAGTAGCCCCTTACAGCACGCAAGATGCCGGAATGGTGTAGGAAAGAAAAGACAAACATTTCAATTTTTATCTTCTATTTTCATGAATAGTTATAATATTACATAATAGATTAGTACCACTGACATAATTTATAATAAATGCACATTTATGGAGTTTGCTCAAATTATCTGAAGTGACGAGGGAGCTAATTCTCAAGGGTTTAGAGATCACTGCTCTGGACAATGTTTCCCAACCTTTACAAGTATGAAAGAGCTCTTTTTTATGTTTCAAAAAACTCCTTACTTTGTGATATTTTTATGGCATTTCCTACATGAGAAAACTCATGAGGACGAAAGTAGTGTGAATCAATATCAATAATCATTTGAAATAGATTTGCAAGAACATGCTCTTCTCATGTAAGGATAACACTGCAAATATGTATACACACGAGTCTCACGCTAACTGTCTCTAGAAGAAGCTCATAGATCTGTGCTCTCATTCCCTAACTCCGAGTCCCACTTCCCCAGCTCCAGTGTCAACTTGGAGAGACCAAGTCATTTCCCTTGACTTGCCCTTCTCCCAAGCCAAGGACACCTTCTCCTAGCACCAAGAGTACACAAGCGCAGAGGTCAAAATCAGGCCCTAGTCTGGATGTCTGGAGCCTGAGGTTCAGAAATGACAGGGCTGAACTGGAAACTGGGCCCTGGTATCATCCACCAAACATATCAAATCATTTTGCTTTAGTTTGAGATATGATCCCACCACTGACATCTGTCGCTCTGACTCAGGCCGGAAAGAATCTGCTCGGAGATACCCACCCAGTCTTTGGAGATGCTGCTGTCACCTTTGATCGTCAACTATATTTAAGAAGTTCACATAGACAGCGATTAAAAGCAGGGCCTAGAGCCTGATTTCCCAGATACCAATCTTGCCTTAGCTGCTTCCTACCTGTGGCCTTGAGCAAGTTACTTCATCTATCCGTGCTACCGTTTAGTCGCCAGTACAATGGTAATGAAAATACTTTCTTCCCTGTAGGTTGTTGGTAAGGATTAATTTAATTAATTCATGAAAATTAATTTGTGAGAATTCAGGCACACAGGAATGAAATGAGTTTGAGTAAATATCAGCCATCACGATCATTATCATCATTATTACTACTGCTACTACCACCACTAGGGTCCATTTTCTTAAGCAATTTATTATATTTGCCCTGACTCCAGACCTTTGTCATCGAGCTGCTTACAGAATCTCCACAAAAGGCTGAGTTCTCAAATACAACCTCCTTGCTGGCAAGCATGAATGGTTTCCTGCCGGTCAGATCACCTAGGTCTAATCATTCCCTGTTATTCCTGCACCAATTTTGTCCTTTTCAACCAAGTGGACAGAGAACATAGGATTCTTACGCTTTTGCAACACTTAGAATAGAGCCCAGGATCCCTAGAAAGTTCCCAGTAATAACAGGCTGACTCATTTATTGCTTCATTAATAATAAGCCACAGACCAGGAGACTGCTAGTCCGTGTCACTATTCTGTTCTTCCTGGACTCTTGGACAACAGTTCAGCACAAGGTGACAAAACACCCTATTTTTTCTGTAGCTGCCCTTGCTCAGCCACTGAAGCACTGGGCTCATTCGGGCCACCACCACCGTGTCCCACTTCCGGTGCCTTCCTCTAGTTCGCCAACCAGCAAGCAGACTTTACGCCCAGCTTTGCAAAGGCCCCGTGTTCTCTTGTGTTATTGACTCCTGAACCCCGTTCCAACAATTGCTCTATTTCTTAAAACTGCCAAACTTTCTCTTGAAAGGGCTCCTTCTTCACTCCTGAAACTGTCTCAGTCTCTCTGTCTTCTAAAATTATCTTCACATGACTTTTCTGTCTTCACTAGTGACCCTATTTTCCCTCATTCTTTTCAATACATAGTAAGTAGCACACGTAGTCTGGCCTCCTGGCCTCAGCTCTCTTCCTTCACGCCTGGGATCAGGCTTCTGCTCCCTCCACTCCGCACAAACGCTTCCGCTGAGGCCCCCAGAGACCTCCTACTAAATACACTCAGTCACAGTTTCTCAGTCAGATGCCCTGACCTGTTTGGCTTCTCCTCTTGGCTCCAACGACACTACACCCACTCAGTTCTCCTTTCTGAACCTTCTCTCATTGCTTCTTTGCTAACTCTTTCCGAGGGTTCTTTGTTCCCTTCTCCAAGGGTCTGTCTTTCTGTTTCTTCCTTTTCTCCTCTCTTTCCCTCTCAGAAGTTCTAACAATCCCTAGCATGTCCACCTTAGCCTCCACGCTTGTAATTTTCCATTTTCCCTCC